ATGTTTCTAAGCGTGTTATCTGTACTAATATAATAAAGCATAAACACACGCTTCTTTGTTGCCTTAGATATCATAACGCTTTTTTTAATAAAAAAGCCCTATACTTACTTCACGCTTTAGGCTATATATAATATATAGTTAAACTTAGGGGTAAATATTTTGGATAAAATCCCTAATGTGGCAAAGAGACCATAAGTTGTTGCCAGCATCAAGGAAGCAAGTTTGCCATGGTTTGACATGACGTCATGTCATTTTGACATAAAGTCGCGGATAAAGTCGCATGGGAACAGCTAGTCTTTACAGACAGCAGTCGCTATGCCATTTCGGCGTATTCTTGTTGCCGCTTTTGCACGATGGTATGATATTAAAAATCTAAATTACTACGTCATCGCGAATTAATAGGTCCAAATAACGTTACCGTCTTTTAAATTCATGCGAGCGCCATCTATTATTAGTAATAAAACTTACCCGTATAAATGGATTCTTCTTTGGTAGGTCATGATCAACTTCGTCCCTCGACTCGTCCTCCGCGGAGTTGACCCTCACACAGGTCTTGTGTATCTCACCCATATTCCCAACACATTATACCACACACTGATCAACTTACGACCTTAAAACTAAGCAGATAGAACTCACTTTCACTTGAATACTTCACTTTTTTATTTGAACACTGAAAACCTCTTTTGAATTTAGAACACACTTATTTTTTTTTAAAGAACGATAATCTTTTTGAATTTCGAATCTTCTTTATTTGAGCAGAATAAAATATTTTGAATTTCGAATTCGGTTCGCTTTTTATGCAACTTTATCATGTGCCAGTAGTTTCCTGAAAGAAAAAATGATACATTAATGAAATAATGACTTTAACGATGAGTAATATTAACAAATAATGATATCATTATAACTCAAGTGGATGTTTGTTCTTTGATAAAATGTGATTAACAGTTTCGAGTGGAAGATACGCTAATTAAAGATTAAACCAAGAAAGGTGACCTAAATAATATAATCCAGTCATATCAAATCCTGTATGGTCTAATGTTTTTATGTTGTAAGATACTATCATATATTTAGGAAAACATTAAATACTAACTGTTGCCCGTGACTCCGTCCGCGTGGTTATAAAAACATACGAACTATATAAATAACAAAAAGCTACGTATCTCGGGAACCAAAAATTACTCGGGGATGAACCTTATCACATGTGTACTCCAGACTTTGTTTTATATCTGTGCCAAATTTCGATAACATTATGTTGAACCGTTGCAGAATGATCGAGTTAACATTAAAAATAAACTACTTCCAAACAAAATATGCTCAAAACAATAATACACTAAAAAGTAACGAAATAATCCCTTGAAAATAAACCTCCCTTATTGTAGCTATTATGTCTATATCGTACAATTATTATTACTTTGATATCGGTATCAGCCTAAGTATGCAGTGATATTTATACGTAAGGCTTTCATTTTTACCATAACAATTGACAATTGAAAGTACAGTAACACTAGCTTTCACCCGCGACTCCGTCCGCGTGGAATTAAAAAAAAGTGTATATAGCCTATGTGTTCTTCCAGACAATCCTCTACATATATACCAAATTTAATCGAAATCCGTTCAGCCGTTTAGGCTACAAACTCTAACATCTATCCATCTAAACTTTCGCATTTATAATATTAAGTATTGATCTTCCTATAAGTTACTTATAGTAACTTTCTTAAATTGAAAGTCCAAAAAGAAATGTATGAATGAAATGTAACTTCACGGTATAATTGCTAAGTTAATACATAATCCGATCGCCTTGAACCGGCGAGTACCGACCTCGTATATGTAGCAATCAGAGCGTGTAAGTTACCGTCATTTTATTGAAACAGGCATTGTTGCAATTAACCAATTTATTGCTTTCGTGGTATAAAAACAAAAGAAAGTACGTGTTGTCAGACAAATCTGTATCAAATTACATCGAGCTAGACGTTAAGATGGTAAACTCTAACAAACAACCATCTAAACTTTCGCATTTATAATTTTAGTATACATGATTCTTAACGGACCTCTCGGAGGTCCTCTACCTCGACAAAGCCGTTGATACATCATCACCAGCTCACTATACGTCCCCACCGAGGGGCTCGGAGCCTACCCTAAATTAGGGTGACTAGGCCATAGTCAAACCGTTAATCCGCCCGTAAAGAATCATCCTGTATATTAATTGTGATTTTCGATGTGTCGATATGATGTTTACTTCATGTCGATAGATGTTTGTCATAACGAGATTAAAGTGTCATTTGATTTACATTCTTTCCGTATTTTTATAAATTACCTTTGTTAGTAACTTAGTTAAGATAAATTGAGTTACTAGTATTTTAGTAAACCAATACGATTATTCTATGAATCTGTAAAATTCTTATTACTTTTGGTAAACTTGTTAATGATCCGAGATATTTCTTATAGAAATTTATCGTTTTACGGTGACATGCATATTTATCACGGTCTAGTCATAAACTGTGACGAAAGACCGATGCGTTATCTTAACTCTCCGTTATGTCGGCATATTAATGACAGCATATAAGTAACTTATTTAGAAAATATAACTTAAGTCTAGGTGAAATCGTAGTCAAGCACTTCTTTATTTTATAGCTTTTGCGCGCGACTACGTCCGCGTGGAATTAAAAAAAACAAAAGTAACCTATGTATTCTTCCAGACTGTGCTCTACATCTATGCCGTCCTTCGAGATCCATCCAGCAGTTTAGGCTACAAACTTTAACAAAAGTCCATCCATCTAAACTTTCGCATTTATAATCTTACTTCGTACTAATATTATAAATGCGAAAGTTTAGATGGATGGATGGATGTTTGTTAGCGTTTGTAGCCTAAACGGCTGAATGGATCGCCATGAAATTTGGCACAGGTTTAGAGCATAGTCTGGAAGAACACATAGGCTACTTTTTATCCCGGGATAAGTTACCGTTCCCGTGGGATTCATTAATTTAGTTTTTTAATGTTTACTCGATCATTCTGCAACGGTTCAAAATATCTTATAGAAATTTGGCACAGATGTAAAACAAAGTCGGGAGTATACATGGGATAAGGTTCATCCCCGAGGTGTCCGGTTCCCGAAGGATACGCAACTTTTTGTTATTTATATAGTTCGTATGTTTTCTAATACCACGCGGACGAAGTTGCGGGCAACAGCTCGTATTAAATAAGATAAGATAAAAAAAAACAAATAATGATTTAGGGCCTGTCCCACCACTGGCTGATACAGGCTCAGCTTAAAAGTGACGTCACAGTCAGAGAATACCAAAATCTGATATTTCCATCACATATTTTATACGTTGCATTGTTATCTGAAAATTTACAAGAATTGTGGGACTGTGGATTGTTATCTACTTAGTACAATATCGAGTTAGTTGAATATATTTTTTTCTGTATTTAGGGTTACTGTATATTCCAGTATTCCACTTGTATAAGGCACTTGTAAATATACTTGAAACACGGAATGCTGTGTTGTGTATGGTCAGAAGCAGTGCTGTTTAAACCACTTTCTAACTCTTTAAGAGTACAGGTGTTACCAAGCGTATGGTCGTAACTACAGAAATTGTGCACACATTGGCTACTTACGTTGTGTTTTTATTATCATTCTGAGACAAAGTCCCGGGCAAAAGGTAGTAAAGAATGAATTCATTGTAGTTGATTATATTTTATTTATTGACATATCGATAAAGAAAGTATTATTTAACTGGCTTCCGCCCGCGACTCCGTCCGCGTGGAATTAAAAAAAACAAAAGTGAGTAGCCTATGTATTCTTTCAGACTATTCTCTACATCTGTACCAAATTTCACCGAAATCCTTACAGCCGTTTAGGCTACAAATTCTAACAAACATTTGTTTTTTTTATTATACTTCCCCTTCCTATGCATCTCCACCGTCAAATTCATTCCCTCCCATCCTCTCCTTATAAGAAAGGGATGGTAAAAAGAAAGGGACTTAAATAAGGCCTCCGGCACCACACTCATCAGACTGTACACGGAATTGCTTCCATTTCACGCCTGTCTTCTGTGTGGTCGTGGTATTACACCGGGCGTGCCGGCCCTGCAGTGCTAAGATATCAAAGCGGGCACTACCACTGTTAAGGATGCACCTTCGTGTCCTACATAAACAACATAATTAGTTTAATTACCTGTATTACTTATTGATTGAAATGACACACAAACACCTGTGTTACATACTTAGCTAACAATGCGGTTGCGCAATGAATCGGTATTTCGCTGCGATAACGAATATTACTTTAGCCCTTTTTAATGTAGTTTATAACTTCATATTTCACCATACTAATATAAATGTGAAAGTTTAGATGGATGTTTGTTAGAGTTTGTAGCCTAAACTGATGGACGGATCTCAATGAAATTTTGCATACAAATAGAGGATAGTCTGGAAGAACACATAGGCTAATTGGTTTTGTTTTTTTATAATATAAATGCGAAAGTTTAGATGGATGGATGGATGTTTGTTAGAGTTTGTAACCTAAACGGCTGAACGGATCTCGATGAAATTTGGAATAGATGTAGAGGATAGTCTGGAAGAACACATAGGCTACTCAATTTAGTTTTTTTTTTAATTTCACGCGGACAGAGTCGCGGGCGAAAGCTACTACTAATATAGCGAAAGTTTAGATGGATGTTTGTTGGAATTTTTAGCCTGCTGTTTAACGGATTTCGATGTAATTTGGCATAGATGTAGAGGATAGTCTGCAAACATAAGCTTCTCTGTTTAGTCTCGCTTTGATTCCTATGCTTATATGGATGCACTACTCGATTTTTAGTTGTGCAACTAAACAGTTGACTGCGACACAATCGACAATCTCACATTTAGTTTAGTCAAAGTTACGCAGGCTCTTATAGTAATTTATGGTTATGTCTCATGAGTGTTGGAGACTTCTTTATAAGACCATGGGAAGGGTTATGTGACATGTCAGTTGTTTTTTCTGTGCTACAAATAAACAATCGCGTAAAGAAATAAGTAAAATAAATGAAATCAGAAGAACGTTAGTTATGAGTGTAGGTACATCGGTAGAGGTAGACATAGGAAGAGATGGATGGATTGCGTGAAAGGTGACATGATGAAGGGAGTGATGACTGAGATGACGTATGATAGAGTTATGTGGAGGACAAAAACCTGTTGCGCCGCTACGGTAGTAGGGTAAGGAGATGATGAATGAAATCAGAATAAAAATGAATAAAACAAACGAAAATCATTAAAGAAATTTAACATTATCTGTGAATAATTGTGGTTTTGAATAATGACTAATAAGTAAGGGCATTGCATGACTAATTTCCCCTTTGAATTAACCCTACGCAAGGAATTTTGATAGGCTTTTATTTGATTTTCCCTTTGCTCATTGGGTTTTTACATCAAACGTTTGTACTAAAGTTCGCCAACATCGTTAGCGCGGAATAAAAAAATTTAATCATACTAATGTTATAAATGTGAAAGTTTAGATGGATGGATGTTTGTTAGAGTTTGTTGCTTAAACTGCTGGACGGATCTTGATGAAATTGGGCATAGAGGATAGTCTGGAAGAATATAGGCTAAACGCTTTTGTTTAACGAAACGAGATCCGTTTATCTGTTTAGGCTTCAAACTCTAACAAATATCCATCAAAACGCATTTATAGTATTGCTAGCTTTCGCCCGCGACTACGTCCGCGCGAGATAAAAAAAACAAAAGCAAGTAGCCTATGTGTTCTTCCAGACTATCGTCTTTGTCAATGCCAAATTTCATCGAGATCCGTTCAGCAATAAGGCTGCAAACTCTAACAAACATCCATCTAT